AAATAGATTTTAGTAATTAATTGTGGAGGCTTCCGGGTCAAAATGGAAAATAGATTTCTTTTAATGTTAAGGTGTTACTTATGTGTAACCTTGTTGACTCCACTCACTTCCTCTCCTTAACATCCTGTTTTTGTCATGTTTCCAATAAAATCTCAACTTTCTCCATTTAGAGTCATTAATAGGATTTTTTAAATAAAAGATTTCGTGTATTTTTTTTGTTTTGTGTGTGTGTGGGGGGTGTTGTTATTATTTCCAGAATGTCTGGTGTAGCTCCAATAGAATTCTATTGATAAAAATTAGTGTTATGCCATACAGGATGGCTGCCAACCTGTATGTGAATCACACTGATTTGGCTTTGGACTTTGTGCATTAACTGAGCATAGGATTAGCACCTATAGAATTAACCAGCACCTGCCTTCTATATTAATATCCATGAGAATACAGTGAGAAACAGAGTGTGGAAGATTTAAATATGGATTACTCTTGTAAAACAAAAGAAGTAAAAAGAATTAGCTATGACCGATTTATATACAGAAGTATACAGTGTTTATGATATGATTAGACTAGTAACAAACAGATATACCAGGTTTTTAAAAAAGTGATATCAATGCCAGTTGGTGCATTTGCCCTTTCCTGCAGCTTAAATAAAAGCTGAGGTTACCCATTGTTTATAAAACTGCTTAGGCAGCCCAATCAAGTTGCTTGGTCAGCACGAATGGAAAAATGTTAGTACCAGTACAACTCATATAGTGGTGGATTCTACTCTGCATTTGTGGTTTAGCTTAGGAGTACTATCCTAGCAATGGGGGAAAGCTCCTGTGGCTACCATGACTTTAAGTCTTACTATGGGAGCAGTGCTAAGCATGTTTATTCAGAAGTCCCATTTTATTCGATAGAGCTAGCTCCAAGGAAAGTGCAGCCTATGTATGCTGCCTGGAAGCAAACAGAAAAAAAAGTCTCAAAAATTATTTCATACATCAGCTGGACCAAGAAAGGCTCTTACCCAAATTCCACATGATATGGTAATCTATTTTATGTGGCACTAGGGTATAAATAAATTGTCACAATGATAACCTGTCTATTAAAATAGTGATAGAGATGTTATTACTGTGACTATTTATACCCTAGTGCCACACAAGAGGGATAAACAGTGGTTAGAGACTTCTTTGTTTTCAAATACATGAGAGTAGGTGAATGTATTCAGGGATGTAGGCTTATAGGTAAGGTAAAGGTGTAATTTCAAGTACAAGTAGTGCTCAGTGCCTCAGGTTGCATTAGCTAATCCTAGAACTGAATTGATTTCAGAGCTACCATGATAAAAAAAAATCATAATTTGCAAGTTTGTCAAACAGTGAAAGGTAGTATATTTTGACACACTAATCCAGTAACTAATCAGTTTTCTAATAAACAATCAGCAATACACTAATGTGTCATCAGCATTTCAGGAGCTCTGGAGAGGGGAAGATCTGCACATAGACGTTAATGAATACACCAAAAATCATTAGGTGATCAATACTTCTGAGTTATTTTCATTGAGCTGATAGGTCTGATACATTAGAGCTGACATTTTACATTTGTCAAGATCACAGTGCAGTTTTTAACAGTAGAGCAACTGGCTAAAATATTCCAAGAGAGACAATCAAAGAAACACAATTTAAACACTTTGACATCCTAGGCTGGAACAGTAGGTGAGATGAATGACTATATAACATTTGGGTCATGTGTTCCTCAAACCATAAGTTCCCTAAAAATAATTAACAGGTACTTTATAATGTTTTGTGATTATATATGCTGATAAGTGCCCCTGTGGTATCTTGGTTAAAAGCTACCAGTATTGACTCAAATGCAAGACTAGGTGTTGTTTTTTCCAGGTGTGACATAAAAAAAGAGAGGGAGTCATCTGACATTTGTATAGAAGTTACATTTATGTCCAATGATGAAAATTGTTTGTATACAACATTTTCTAGGGGGATCAATCTACATACTGGGTTGTCGTTCTTTCGAGAAATTACAATAATTCTTCGCCATGCCCTCTGCTGTGCGATGTTTGAAACTGAAGAGCCTCTTTATTGTTCATAGCCTTTGGGCCAATTGTATTTACTGTTCATAGGCATCATGCAGCATCAGTTAAATGATTTATATGAACATCACATTAAAATTACAGGGTACAGTCTACTTAAATCTTCTGCTTCACAAGCCCTTCTGCTTCACAAACCCACTTGAAATTAAAGGTACCCGCACAAAACGTATATGTATAGCCTCATCAGGTATTCAAAATGACTATAAAGAAGTCACAGTATGTTAAAAAACTGAATTTTAGTAGAGTATATTCTCATTTGGATGAATCTGTTTGACTCTTCTTAAAGTTCTGGTTGATCTTTGGTATTCAGAGATGATTCAGAGAAGACCATTCACAGTCACTCCTGGACACCTTCTTCCCCCTCAGTAGAGCCCATCCTACTCCATGATGTACTGAGGTGCTAGAGCCAATGAAGCAGATGAGCTGGTGGTTTGGGGGTGGGGGTGAAAAGTTCTGTCAAATCACAGCTGACTTATGGTGACCCCTTAGGGTTTTCAAGGCAAGAGATGTTCAGAAGTTGTTTGTGATTGCCTACCTCTGCATCATGAGCTGGTATTCCTTGGAGGTCTCCCATCCAAATTCTAGCCAGGGCTGACCCTGCTTAGCTTCCAAGATCTGACAGGATTGGGTGGTTTGGGTACAAGTGGGGTAAAATTAGAAAGGCATGATTGACAGGTCAGAGCACACTTTTGTGCTTACTTTGTGGTGATGATGGCAACAAATCAATGTTATTTCTGTACCTTCATGGCATCTGCACAAAGCTGTCAACCACAACTTGCCTTAAATAGTGAAGGGTCTTCTTTGTCAGACTCCTCTTGATACTAACACACATAATGCAGAATATAATTCTGCTGTGATTGATTTGCAAGACATTTCACAGATAAAATCACTTGCATCCATTCCAATTTGGATGCCTTTATTTCTATTGGACAGTTTCAAAATTAGGTCAGTTAAGTTGTGGTTGATGCATGGTAGTTGCACTGTAGTTGTGGCCTGAGGTTGCTGACAAGTTACTTGAAAACATGTGGCTTACCTCAATGCTTGCCGTTGCTCATCTTGGCTTATTCCATTTTAGAAGGAATTACCCAGGGGTAATACTTTCTTCAGGGAGGATATAAGTTATAAGCTTTTGTGTGCAAACACACTTATTCAGATACAGTGAAACATGAAAGATACAGTGAAACACCCTGAATAAAACTTTGTTGGTCTTAAAGGTGACACTGGATTCAAACTTTATTATGCTGCTTCAGAGCAACACAGCTACCCACCTGAATCTATATTCAGGGTTGATATGATTGCCACAGAAACCATTTCTGGGTACAAATGATATTAACTACTATTGCCTGGTTGCAAATCTCTCTTTATGAACAACTATGATGGAGTGTGGATGATCACCATGCTAAGGACATACAATTCTGCTTTTCATTTTCAGCAGCCTGGTGAGCCAGTAAATGTCCTGAACAGGTTTCCAGGAGCAGATGGGCTAGATAAGCTAAAATAGGCAAATAAATTAAATTCAGTGTATAAAAGTTCTGATGCAGATACAGTATGGCTAGTTGGGAATGAAGAGTCAGCCTGTGCTAGAGGTGCTGCACTTCCAGTAATGGGTTGCATGTACACTGCTGGGTGTACTTTTAAATTAGTAATTGCAGATGGGTTCTCAGAAATTATGTATGGCACATATTACCCTTAGTATACTTCACTTAGCCTGCAGGTTACAGACCTTCCTTAAAAAGTGAGATCTCATCACAGTTAACCATATTGTAATCATGTCCAGTTTACATTACTTCAATGTAACGCTACCTGGAGATGCCTTTGAAGATGGTTTAGAAACTGTAATTGGTTCAAAATGCAGCCACAAAACTTTGAGATAGTAAGGATTATAAGGCATGTACTCACAAATGTCAAAAGACTTATACTAGCTGTGACTGCTTATTGCATTTATGTTTGTTGGTTGTTCTGCTTTTATTCCTCTGGATTTATACACAATGACTGGTTTTAGTCATGTACAAAGCCATTGTTGATTTTATGCTGTCGCTTCCTATTGTTAATTTTATTGGAGTTTTTGCAATACCTGTATTTTGCTGGTGTTTTTTAAAAAAAATTATTTCTCAGCTTATTGTTCAATTGATTTTATTGTACATCTTTTGAACTTCAGTTTAAGGATGCAAGACAGAAATTACTTAAATACATTTGGGATAGATGTAGGTTCCTCACTCTGAATCACACATCCCTGTGACAACCCCTGTAGAAAGTTTACATTTTAATGATTCATGATCTTGCTATGCAGTTCAACCAGTGGAGGTAGGACATCAATAGAACATGCGCTGGTGAACTTTGGGGTTTCACTGTTGTCCAGTACATTTTTAAAATATTGCTTAAACAATCACTGGTGCGCCTGTTCCAAAAAGCCACCTGCATACTGATCTCAGACAAGTATAGGAGTTTTCTGTTGCAGCAAAACAAAGTGATTATTGCTTCATGGCTTCACAATGGCTCCAATAGATAGTGCTCCTGATTTTAAATTAGCAGGAGGTGAAATTCTATTTGTCATCAATTTCTCCTCGGGGTTTCAGAGCAGAAAACTGCAGACAAGCTGCTTCTTTGATGGCTCACTCCTAAAATCTCTTTTTGTTCTTTATCTATTTGAACTGACAGTGATCAGAGCTGCAGCAGGACAGGCCTCTCTGGAGAAATCACCTTCCCCCTGTCTATTGACAGATTCCTCTGTTCTGAATCAGACAGGCCCTGTCCCATCATAGGCATCAAGGCCTTGGAAGTAGCCACCAATTAAACCTCTTGAGCCGGTAAAATCTGAAGCCACTTTTGAATGTCTGTTCTGATTAGGCAGGATAAGACAAAACCCTTCAACCCCCAGAAGCAGCTCCCCAGTCTCAATTTTCTCTCTTGCCTTTACCAGGTGCGAGAGGTGTGAGAGAAGCTTCACACAAGCCACCCAGCTGAGTCGACACCAGAGGATGCCCAATGAGTGCAAGCCAATAACAGAGAGCACAGAATCAATTGAAGTGGATTAACTGATTGACTGGTTGGAATTAAACTGCAAGGAAAGTCATGATTAAATGTCATGGACACTTAAGCAAAACCAAAGATTTCCTCTGAGCAACTTTCAATCAGTCCCAGAAAACCAAGAGCAGTAATAAAATAAGTAAGATGTTAAGAGATATTGATCCTGGCGTGGAAGTGAAACCAGGAAAGAGATTATTTATTTATGACTAGGAATGAGACTGATTTCAATGGACAAGACACTAGGGCCAGCTAGCATTTCTAGTCCCCTCCCCACCATGTATTGCTTTATTTCTAAAAGCTTTTATAATTGTTATTTAATACCAAAGCAACTAATATCAAGGGTTCTTTTGCCCATAGCTATGACTAAGAATGCACATGGACTTGTTTATTGTTGCACCTTTTTCTTCAGCATGACTCAGTGGACCTAGGTATATTCCTTTCTTGGCTAGGCTTTATTGGGTTGTGCTGCTCTGGATGTGTCTGTAATTTTTTTAAAAAAATGTTGTATTTAAGTGACAAGACAGAGGAGGCCATTCAGGACCATCTTTGTGTTGGTGGCAGACCTCTTCCCGCCAATGGACATTTCATTCCCATGGTTTCAAAAATCACATTTTGTGCACTTTTTTGTATAAATGTTTTCATTAGCCACTGTTGTATTGGCCCAGGAAATCCCAGAAATGTTAATAAACTTGGTCCTCTATATATCTGTAAGTGTATATATTGTAAAAGTACCAGTAAGGAAAGCATTTGAACATATAGAAAATACTACTCACCAGTGATGATGAACAACCGTTTCAGTGAAACTGTGACACACTTATTTAAAAGTATAATGTTTGAAAATGTAAATGTTAAAAGTGGTATAGCCAGAAAAAAAGTCTTTGCTTTGATGGCAATATTAGTAACATTAAAAAAATCAACTGAATTATCCCAATTTAATATTTCCAGTAGCATCTCAGCATTTACCCAACATAGAACAACCTCACACAATACTGGTATTATAGGGGGCAGGGCTAGTTTATGGCCAACCCAACAAAGTGACTGCTTGGGGTGGCACAGTGAGGCAGGTGCCGATGCACTGAAGGTCCGCACCTGGCTTCCAGCCTTCAGTGGAACAGGAGATGGCTGGCATCCCTTCCTAGACCCTGTGCCACTGCCAGTCGAATCCAAATCAAGCCTTGTGGCAAGAGCATAGGGACTTGGCTTGGACAAAGCTGGCAGTGGTGCTGGCCCTGGAGAGGATGGGTGTACTTGCTTACGGTGAAAAATCGATCTTGAACTGGTCCTGCACCAGGGAGCTCCTCTTGTCTCCCTTGCCCTGTGTATCTTATTTCATGAGACCAGAAAAGTTATTAAGACTGAAATTTGCCATGTTCTCTAAAACCTCTCATAATGAAAGCTAATTTAAAGACTCAAACATAAGTTTTTTGAGTCAATGTTTAGCCTATAGATGTCAATCTTTACTTTGATCTTTGGTGCTTAAACCCATCTCATGTCCTTCAGTTGTATGGTCTGCACTTTAAGAATCAAGCAGCAAGTTATGTCAGAAATCATTTGGACTGTATTGGCTTAAATTGACAGTCTAAACTAAACTAATTGAAAATCTCTGACTTAACTGGTTTGTTCATTTTTGCCTTTGGAAAACCTACCTCATAATTTTACTGGTGGAAATGAAATTTTGCAGTGGAATTTATTATACTACTTAACTTGATGCGCTTTCACTTCAGCCATCTAGGAACCCCTGGCTCTATAACCCAAGCAGTTTAACTATGGCTAGGCTTTCACTATTGTGGCAGAAGTAGAACCCAATACATTTCAGCCATAGTGTATCTGCTTATAGGATCAAACCATTTAAAAGTCTGGGCATGATCCAGTGCCTCACTAACACCTCTGCATGTATGGTTCCCTCTGAGTAATGTCCATCCTGAACACACAGATGTATATACATGACAAGGTAATGCGTGTTGAATGGCTCATGCAGGACATCAGCTGGAGTGTAGTCCTATAAGTACAAGTATAGCAATTTAAGAAGTTTGTAAGGTTTAGATGATTTTTTTTACATAATCCAGGCACACTTGAAAACGATGCTTTCAAAACTTAGTTTGAATTTGCACCCATAAAATTCCATTCATAAAAAATGAAGTTCCCATAAAAGTAGTAGTTTCAAAATCTTTTTCAGTAAATGTGTCCTTAATTTGAAATTGATAACTTGTCCTAAATTTAGGTGACTCATGCATGGCTTCACATTTTAGCAATATTATTCTTGAGTGGCCATTTTCTTTCCAGTTATATTAATAATAAATTCCAGAGCAGCAGTATAGTTAGTCTATTGCAATAAAACCCACAAAATCCTGTGATGCCGTAATGACTAGCAAAGCTACGTGAGCTAAGCTCTTGTGTGTTAGAGCCTAGTGCAAAAAAATGCATGATGTGATTGCTTATTGCATATGCTGCAATGCATTCCCCCCCCCCCACGAGCCACCGGACTCTTTGCTGGGTTTTTTATTCTTATTAAGAGAAATGCTGTGTATCTAAATCAAGAAACCTTCCTAAAGATTATAAATGATGGGTTGGATCTTAAAGAACTGCACGTGGAATGAGTCTAAAGAAAGGATATTTATTGCTATTCTTTCCCCCACTGAAGCCCCTGCTTCTGTGGATGGGAAACCATGTGGGATATGGCACAAGGATTGTAAATCTGAAGAGGGAATTAGAAGAAATTTATCCCAGCCTCTCTCCTGTGCAAGCTATTCTGTGACTTGAGCTTTTCCAGGGAAAAGGTGTGGGGAAAGGCACTGCTGAATCTCCCTTCTGTATGTAACACCCTCTACCACCTGCATTCCCCTTACATACCCAAGAACAACCTGACTTTTGGAGCATCTTTCAGAAAGCAAAGGGGAAAGCAACAAACCTTTGTTCTACAAATGTGCTCTATTCATAGTTCTTTAGGATACAACACTGGGTTTTTGTGTTAACAAAAGAAAAAGACACATCATATACTTTCTGTGACATTGATTCAAATCCCATTTATTTGGCACTAAGGGCTCCAACAGATGAGATGAAAATCACATAGCAATCTGTCCATCAAATGCAAATTGCAGGTTTACGCTAATCCTTCAATATGCTCTGAGATTCATTTTTCAAAACTACCCCCCCAGTCTAAAATTAGAATTTTAGAAGAAAAGATATGGCTCTGGTTTCAATAAACTTTGCAAATAAGTTCAAAAAAATCACAGAAACCACTTTTTGCAATTACAATACACTTAATTGTTCCGGCACAAGGGGGCCTAATTAGATGTGATACTTTTTTTTTTTAAATTGAATAATATGTGGGCACTGGTTCATATAAATAAAGGGAGGAGTTTATCCCTTCCATCCCAGCATGGTTTTGTAGAATGAAATAGTGCACCTATTGCTGTTATTAGCCCCAGAAAAAGCACAGGGAAAAAGAGGGCACTTCCCCCCCCCCCATCGCAGCTCTAACAACAGCAAAGCAAAAAATAGTTTTGATTGACAAAACCATGCAGAGGAGGTGGGAGGCTTAAAGCCCTTTTCTTCTTCTGCAGCAGTCACAGCCTGAATTGGGATCCTTCCTGGTTGCTATTTGATTTAAAAATACTGGGAAGATCTGATCATGATTACCCATAATAGTCTCCTCCAGTTAGGCCACAAGGGTCAAAATATATCCAGAAGGCAGGAATTTATGTTGGTAGTCGTTCATGGAGATTGACTGCGAAGCATAAATTCAATCAACTTTGCTTATTAAAACTGTTGCTAACATTGCTCTATGCCTTCCAGAATTTGGCAGTTTTTTCACACTTTAGGGGAGTGTTCTGTTTTAAAAGAAATGTAATGTTGCACTACCTGAGATATAAACCAAGGAGCCAAAATATTAAGGATTCAAAGAAATCCAGTTCCATTAACTTCAGAGATAAAGTGAACATATTCCCAGTAGTTCTACCTCATCTACATATTTCAATAAACCAAGTAGCCAAGCTGTAGTTTACTCCAAAATAACTTGTTTCATATTACATAAAATGACCTAAGATATATATCTAAAAGACAGCTTTCTGCACTATCAATCTATTTTTGTAGTGCCGCACTAGATATACAGGGAGTATGTGAAGAAACGCCCTTAACGTTTCCCTTCATTTGACAGGGAAAGTGGATAGCCAGCATTGATGTAATAGTATCTTCAACCCCCATCCCATCCCAATGTACTGTTGGACGTATCATAGAATCAGGGCTCTTTTTGTAGAAAAAGCCCAGCAGGAACTCATTAGCATAATGGGCCACACCCAACAGCAGAAACTCATTAGCATATCAGGCCACACCCAACAGCAGAAACTCATTAACATATTGGGCCACACCCCATGTTACCAGAAGTGTGGTTATCCAGCCACACCCACCTTTTGCTTGTTATTCTGTTTACCTTGTTTGTTGTCAAAACCCAGGGCTTTTTTGTAGCAGGAACTCTTTTGCATGTTAGGCCACACACCCCTAATGTAGCCAATCCTAATGAGTTTCTGCTGTTGGGTGTGGCCTATTATACTAATGAGTTCCTGCTAGGCGTGGCCAACTTGGGAGCCAACCGGAACTCCGTTCCTGTGCGCAGTCTGTTCCACTGCTCAACCACTCTTACAGTTAGGAAGTTTCTCCTGATATTTAGTCAGTAACGACTGCATTGTAATTTCCACCCATTAGATCTAGTCTTGCAATCTGGAGCAAGAGAGAATAGATCTGCTCCATCTCCTACATGACAGCCCTTCAAATATTTGAAGACTGCAATCATGTCCCCTCTAAGCCTTCTCTTTCCGAGGCTAAACATACCCAACTCTTCAGCCTTTCCTCATAAGACTTGGATTCCAACCCTCTCACCATTCTGGTTGCCCTCCTCTAGACACGCTCGAGCTTGTCAACATCCTTCCTAAAATGTGGTGCCCAAAACTGGAAACAGTACTCCAGGTGAGGCCTGATCATAGCATACCTCCCGTGATCTGGACACAATGCT